AAAGCCTCTCCGTGTTGATGAAAAAAAGCCACCATCAGTCACAACCCACGCTGGCATGTCACTGACACCGGCTGATTTAAGGACACCAAACCCAGTTTCACATCAAGGGGCTGCAGCATGCATTAGTGAATAAAAAAAGCAGAGATGACAAACCGACTGCAGCTGCAAAAAGCCAAAACTGCTGAAGAAAACATGAATGTGACATGCAGGAGCTATTTTTTACTGTGAAAATTACCCAGATCTTACTCAAACAAGCAAAATATTTGCTGTTCCAGTTTCTCAAAAAGGTGGATTTGATTGTGTCTAGCGTCATACATGAAAGATGTACCAGAAGAAACAAAATATTTAGTACTTGAGTATATTCAAATCTATGTTGGTGTGTTACACACTGCAAGTGACATGTATAAAAAATAGGGACAGATGGTCTTATAGAGATGTAATGTGCTGGGATCACATACATGTCAAAAAACAAGATGTAAAAAAAGTGAACATGGAGTCGTGATTAGGACAGAGATGTGCCAGACTGCATGACGATCCACAACCAGTAAGACCGTCTGGTTTTTCAGAAACGGGCTTCTGGGACGAGCAGTGTGACCTATGGTATGTCCACTGACTCTTCTTTTTGTCAGGTTTTAGACAAAGTCTAAACCAGTGTCATTAATTATGATGCACTTCATGGAATAAAAAGTTTTATCTGGTATTTGACAAGATTGAACTCACCATGTCTCCCAGATGGTTCATCCCCATCTCAAAGGAGTGAATGCCCAGCGCGGCCTCCTCGTTGTGAGCCTCAATCATGCGCATATTCTTCTCCCAAATGGCCCTGCGGATCCCCTCCTCACCCTGAGGGGAACAAAAGTACACGTCACTGTACTTAAGTTAAAAAAGAGCTCCCTGTCTTACACCTACAAAACAATCCACATTTTTAGAAGCTTTAAAAGTATCACAAATAAATATTATAGCAGATGTTATAAAGAAGTCATTATCATTTCGTTGCTTCCATTATTATTAGAAACAACAGTGACCCTCCTAATATGAACAACAAGAGGACTTTTACTTTCTAGGATGATGATGCAGCCTCACTTTTGAACTGGTGTGAATGGTTTTCTTATAAAAAATCTTTATAAAAAATAAAAGAAACACTTTTTCCAGTCTTAAAGTTTGCTTTCCTTGTTTCTACACTCATGCACGAACACCTGACAGCTGAAAGAAACTAATCTAGGCAAACAGGACAAATTTGCATTATAATTAGCAGATTAAAAAAAAGCTTGTCTGTGTTACAGCCCCATTTCATTAATTAGGTCAATTAAACCAGTGCACATTCACACAACAATCTTCCCTACAGATTATACATATGTGGGTTAAAACATTAGTTTGTCCTTTATTCAAATTCCACCACTATGTGTCATCCACGAAAGAGTAATATTATAATATGGAAGTGAGATAGAGCCAAGTGTTTGGTATTGAGAAAATCAAATATGCTCTACTTAGTAGTCTAGGTAATCTCACCAATGATTAGCATAACTATAAGCATTATTTCCATCTTGATATTCATTCCAGTAATGGAAAATGTAAATATGGTAAGGTGACTTTGATTATATTAGATCAGTGATGCCAATTCAAAGAAGGTTGAAAAGCTCTCCTGTGCATAAATACTGATTAAAATCACCATGAGGGGGAGAGAGAGATGTCTTTTCTGCACACTACAGAAACACATGTTATAAAAACTATATACGCACATTCAGTTCATGAATCAAAGCACATGTAACTATACACACTCATGAAAACTAGACATAAACACACACACACATGCCCCAGCTGTGGAGTGCTGACCTCTAGCTTGAGGTGAAGAGCAGAGGGATAACAGATGCTCAGTGAGCATTCATGGAGTAAATCACAGTCCGCTATGGTTTAAGAGCAAACTGCAAACAACCCCTTCTTCACAGCCAGGAAGAGAAACAGAGTATAGGGAATTTTTTGCCGCAGAGAAACCGAGAAAGAGGAGTGGAGGACTTTCCTCTGTTAGAAATTTCTGGCTCTGGTGATATGGCACATAAAAAGCTAATGATAAAACTAAATTACAAAATATGCTAGGATTTTTTTTCTCCTCTTGTTTCATAATATCATTAAATAATGATTTAAATACCCATAGTTGTTGAATTAGTCTTTTAAACTGAAAAGTGTTGAATTATACTAAACAAAAAAACAAAAATTTAAAGTTTAAAGGAGGATCCAAACATCTACTGGTTATGGATGAGAAAGTTGGACTGACAGAAAATTGCATGTCCTGCTTCAGGTAAGCTTCTGTCTGTTTAATTTTCAGCCAAAACAAAGAAGAAGATCAACCAGTGCTGCCATCAAGTAAGGAGGTAAAATTACCAACAGTTTAAACATAACTGATTCGATCATATAAAACAAAATGTGACTGGGGAAGAATATTTGTTCCCTGTTAATGTTGCTGATGCTTCCTTCTGTGACTCTCTGGCTTTACCTCATCCGCTGTTAGCGTTTCTGCCAAAATAACTGAAACTGGTGGAGCTTCCTTAAAAAGGGCAGCTTAGCCTGCAGACTTACAGAAGCCTGTCTTGGGCTAAGATGTGGAACATGCTGTGTATAAATAAAATATGAGTCTTTGCCACATGTGTATGCAAATGTATTAAACTATGTAAATTATAAATAACTACATGTTGCTGAGACTGGATGAGGTTTTTTTTTAAGTCAAACATAGCATTGTGCAGTCATGTCTATTCCTTTTCAAGGAGCAAGTTGCATCAGATAAGGAAAACCAATGATGTTTTGAAACTGTGATATGCACATTTGATGGGAAAGCACATAATGTGCATATTTTTTTATTTCATTATTTCATTTTAGAATTAATGTATTCACCAAAGGCTTCACCAATACTGCTCTCAGTTTTGTTTTCAGGTTTAGTGTTTTATTTGTAGAAGTCCTCTTTCAGGAAAATCAGATTTAAAAAGAAGCATCTGCTTTTTAAAAACAAAATCTTTATATTTCCTACCTTATATTTAAGTTTTCTTTGTGCTATTTCTATCTCTTAATTTTATCATTATTTTAACTCTAAAACAATAGTAACACACACTCACCAAGCCATTGTATTCTTTCCTATGTGTGCTCTTCCACTCTTCCCACTGGGCATCCAAAGAGTATTCATCAAAACGGCCCAGCGCAGAGGTAGCCAGCAACAGCACACACACAAGTGGCAACATCCTAAAAGAACAAAAAACACTTTCATGTTTTTATTTATACCAAACTCAAAAGTTTTTTTTATTAACAAAGTTTTATTTTTTACAATAGAGTTTTCATATTTCAAAAGTGTCACAACATTATAATTAGGGTATGTGTACGCATATAAAATATCTCAGTGTTATCTTATGGGTGTCCAAGAGAGGAGTTACAGTCAAAATTCCCATTCAGAAACAGAAACAGTTTACCATATGAACTTCCTGGAGAAGCTTAGGTTTGAATCAGGTCACTTCTTCATTTATAACCTTCCTGTGTGCACTCGACTGTCATAAGGATAAAAGCTAATATATATATCTATCGATATCTATATATGCTTTCCTATAATCCAGTGAGAGCATTGTGTTTCTGCAGGGGTTTACTCTCATGTGGTTGGTTTCATTATCTCAATCATGCCACAGTGACAAAAAACAAAATGCTAAGTTGCACTTCTTGGGAAACAAACCTCTGTTCCATGTTTTGGTTTGAGACAGGAAACTCTCAGGATAATTCTTATATGATTTTCAACGAATTTCACTTTCGTTTTCAGGGTCAGACCGGACAATGCTGGATATAGTTTGACAGCAAACGTGAATGACAGCTACAGGATGAAGTCTCAAACACTGAACTCCACTGAGAAAATGTTTTCACTCTCGCTCTCATCAGTGATTCAAACATTTTAACTGTGGGTTTTTTAAGTCCAGGCAGTGTGAAATTTTTTCTCTGCCTTTGTTTCTTGGACTTTCTGAGTCCATCTTGTATTTTAATACATTGTGCTTCTAGTCTGCATTTGTGGGCTTTGTTTCCAGTAAAGGTCACTGACCTTGGAGTTTCTCTTAACTAAGAGCAGAAAACAATATTTCCTTTTGTTTTGTTTTCTTTTTCTTTTTGATTCCTGCTTCCTACACTCATGGATTATACACAGCATGGCTTCACCTTTGGGTGAAAATCTATGTTTTAAATAGAGCAATCCCATGATACATGCCAGTAATTCAGCATATGTGCACAATGCTGTGTATGAGTCACAAGACTTCTCCCTGTGGTAGCTTATGTTTTGAAAATAAATTTATATTTTGCATAAAACATTAGCATTCATGACTTTTTTCACATTCCCAGATGTGTGGGTTTTTTTGTTTTTTTTTTGCATTGGTATGTCAAACTTTCCAGAACTCAAACTGGCTGCCAGTAAATGTTACGTCTCCCTGCCTCCCTCTTCCAAGAATGACTCTATTAATGTGCAGTTGGGTCAAAATTGTTCTGTAATCTTTTTTAAGACTGATCACTTTCTTAGCTGCAGAAAAGCTATGCATATATTTGAACCAACATTTATGGAAAAATCTCTTTCAAGGTCTTGAAAATCAGTTCATGTAATTAAGTAAGAGTTATGTCTAAGTTCAGTTCAGCTGAGTTGTTTTTACTTAAATACTAAAATATCAGAAAGCAGCAGTTCTTTCAAACTGATTTAAAGTTTAAAACAATAAAGTTACAACACGCACAAAAGAGCAAAAAAGATTTTGTGTGTTAGGAGTGTTAGGAGATCAGCAGTAAACAAACTTACCTGAAGTCCAAAAGTCAAAAAGCTCAGGGAATTCTTCCGAGTTTGACTTGGTCTTCCTTTGCTGCTGAAGTAGGTCAGTGGGTGAGTTTATATCGGCTGAATTTTGAGGAAGTACAATGGGAGCTCCAGGCCTGGGGAGGAGTTTTCTTCTAACATGGAGGGAAATTACATCTGGTTTCACTGAATAAACCGGATGATGTCAGGTGTCAGGTTACAGAGACATGTCTGAAAACTCCACAGAGGATGTGGCACTGCTGCAGTCTGGGTTAGTGCTTGAAGAACAACAAAGGTGCTTTGAAAAAAAAAAGACCTGGAACTTGGCCTTTCTTTACAAGTCTAACACTGATTATCTTTTATAGCAGAACATTGATTTATATACATGACCATGCTTTGTATTTTGTTCAAGAATCAAAGTGACCTTTTAGTCTGCTTTCAAGTTTACTCTAAATCATGAAGAAGAAGAAGAAGAAGAATGCTAGGTTAACATAGATGAATGGATGGGTCTCTGAGTGATTAATTATTGAGCAAAGATATTTTTATTCCAAAAGGAAGGAAGGAAGGAAGGATGCAGCAAAAAAGGCGCATGGAAAAAAACAGTATGGTACAAGTGTGTACAATGTAATAGTTGTCAGCCAATAAACTGGGTGGGCACCAGCAGCGGCTGTTACAAGAAAACATGTCATCTCCTGCACTGCACATTTAGTACTGCTATTATTTATTTAGCATTTAGTGTGGTCATTATGAATATTACTCGAACCAAACCAACACGATAAGTCAAAATATTTGCAAAGATTTTTTTCAGGCCTGTCGGCTGAAGATTTCCAGAGACTCTTCCAGCGCAATTTCTTTTGTTTCTTGTTATGCTGAAATTTTTCTCAGCAGAACATTTTCTCAGAACGTTCTGACACTTGGTGTGGAAAGGCTATTAAGGCTACTATATGTATTTTTTTTATGTTCATTGTGTGTAACTGGAAAACAATTTCTCTACTTGAAGAATAAAAACCAAACGTGCTTATTTTAGATTTTAGATTAATTATACAAGAACACAGCATGTGAAACTTGATCATGAGTGGCAGTTTGCTAAAAAACATTCCCACAGCAGAATCCAAATAGGTCTTTGCCATATTTGTATTTGCTCCAATTTCTGTCTGTTTGGTGGTACTTCCTCTTGCTGTTAGTCATGTGTGTATATACATGAATGTATCTTATGACTCCTATACTCATACTGTTGTCTAGCACATATCTAGACAGTGAATTAAATATAGGAGCATCCCGTGCAGCTGAGATGTCCAGTGATACATGTCCATGTTGCTACAAGTTAATCAGAGGTATAATCATGTCTCCATGAACAATAACACATTGTTCAATGGAGAGGCCTTGCTAACACAAGTGCTCGCACTACCATTATCACAACTGCTATTACAAGTGCAGTCTCTTCATACAGAATTTTTCATAATACATTAATGATTATTCGTGCATATCATTACATATCAGTCTACCATGTGTTTGTGATCTGGACAAATATATATTTATGCCACCTTGAACTTGAAACATACCAAGGTTTTGCAGGCAACGAAACTTTAAGATGCTAACATGACATTTTGGTGCAGAGCTATGAACAATAAATGACAGGACTACCTCATCTTGTATTTATGTAAATTTAAATCTTTATTGGCTCCTTAATTCCCTCATCAGTAGTGGCTATTTTATGCATGTCCTTGCTCAATACAAAACATTGATCCAGCACAACATGAAGTTTCAGCAATTTGAAGTAAATCAGACAAGCATGTATTATGCTTTCCTGCAGCACTGCAAGGAAACAAAGGAAATTAAGATACCAGTTTGAGTTGTTTAAATCAGACTCCTGTTGTCTCATGTTAGCTTGAGCTTGATGTGTTGCTGAAAAGAGACAATTTGTATGTAGAACCACGAGTGTGGATTTTGCTCCCCATAATTTATCTTGCCATTGCATTACTGAGGGATATCTTCAGGTGCTAAAAAAACTACGAGTGGCCATGAATCCATTTATAAGATGGACAATGACAATGATTTTTCCATCAATATCTAACAAAAACACCTTTTTAAACTCAATAGTATTAAAATCTAATCTAAACTCATTGAATACTGGAAGTAAATGAAGTTCTCTGTAATTCCGATTGCCACTGAGATGAAAACATCAAACTTGATGGCGAGTTAGGCCTGTAGAACTAATTTTATTGATAGTGGTAGATGAAGCCACAATTAAGCCACTACATATACACAAAAATATACTAAATGGCAAAACAAGGTGGGACAATTAAAAAAATAGACATGAATTACCTTGTTATTACTATTGTTATTACTCTTGTTAAAGTTACATGTCATTGTTAGATATCTAGCTAAAAGCTGCTGATAGTGGATTGCAAGTCCACAGTGCACATTTTTTTTTTACATTATTTGGCCTGATTGTGATATACTTTTATATTTTAATCTTTCTTGATAGATTTAAAATATGACTTTTGGTTTAAATAAATGAATTCTCCAAGATTTTTGTAAATTTCTGCAATGTTTAGCATATTTTTTCATGAGTAGGTTCAGAGCTGTATTCTTTTTTGTTTGAATTAATTATCAAGTGATATTATTCTAACCACTTATGAAAATAAGTCATTGCAAAAGCAAGTTTTGAATACATGACACCAGCATGTATTAGACAAAAAGCAAATGATCCAGAATCCTGCCTTGTGGGACTCCTAAGGTTTAAAAAAGATATTACATGAATGATTTTACCCACTGGGACAGTTTAGTTAGAGGAAAACCATGAATATCAAAAGGCAAAAATTTAAACGAGCAGAGTTTGTTCAGCAGAATCCGACGATTTACAATTTCAAAGGCTTTATAAAAAAATCAATATGCAATCGGAGACGGTATCATACAGTGCACAAATGCAGCTATTGCTCTCTCCTTTGCTGCTTCAGTTCTCCTCAAGGTCAAGAACAATCTTGGGTGCTGTGCTAAGATTCCTGTTGTGTTAAGATCTCTAGTGTGTTAAGTGCAGTGCAGGCAAGCAGCTCAAGGCAATGGCTTTCATCACTGACAGCTCACTATCTAACTGATCGATATTTTAACTGATGAAACATCTGCTTACTGGATTTCACCAGGCTGGAGAGTGCATCTTAAGCCTTTGTAAGACTCTTCCTTCCTCTTTGGCACTTTAGATAATGAGATTCATGAACGGGCGGTATTTTGATTGATCCACCATGCAGCACTCAACCCCAATCTTAGCATCAGGGAGCATACCATCATGCAGCAGGTCATAACCTGTGTGTAAATGTATGTGTTTGAGCAGATTGATTTATACAGGTATTCCTTACTAAAATGGTTACCTAGCAGTCCGCATAGCTCTGTTTTTTCTTCTTGAGTGCTAAAACAATCTATTAATATCTCCACATGGGGCTGATGCTGAGAATGCTTTTCTGCATTTATGACTTTTTCTCATGTGACCACTTGGCAGCCATTTTTTGTTCTAGTCTGACTCTTTGTTTTGAACAGTGAAAAGTACTCTGAGGCCCAGCTCAGCAGTAAATTCCTCTTGTCTTCCGTTTTCTTCTCCTCCTATTAGGTCACATCTGTTTCCCATCTCAGCACATACTCACAACCCACCGCAAAACTGGAAACAGCTTACCTCCCAGAATCCTCTGCAAGTCATATGATCCTGACTCACCCCATCACGGGATAGGGTTGGGTTTTGTCATTACAAAAACTGAAATGGCTCTGTAATAGCAAGAAATAGCCTTACATCACAGCGTTTAGGTATTGCAGAGTAAGCTGAGTGACATCTCATTTTCTATATGCATGTATATGGCTCTCAGAGGACAGATTATATGCCCCGAATGCTGTAACTTGTTGAAATCCATTGCATTTGAGCACCATAGAAAATCAGGCTTCATTCAGATTCTTTTCCCCTGGCAATCTAGTGAGAAAGCCCAAGAGGCTTTAAATTCTCATCTGAACTGTGTGCACTTTTCATTGACCAGTTCAGAGATTAGTGCCGCAGACACCAAAGAGGTTTTAAAGGCTTGTTTTGATTCCAACAGATTAGACAGTGTTGTCTTTTTTCATTCCAAGCTCAAATTGTTTATAGCAGGGGAAAAAAAACCCATTACGTGTATACTGAGTTGTTGTTGTCTGAGCCATGCATGTCCTGCTTTCTCTATGAAAACACGAGTGTCTGTGTTTTACATTAAAAATGAAGAGGAGACGTTTGTCATGCCCTAAAAGCTGCCATTCAGTTTTGCTGTATAATTCTGTCTAGAAATAAGAGTAGTGGCCTGAAGCCAGGTGCATCTTTGTGTTACTGATGCTATTCTTGTCAAATTTGTCTAAGGTATTTCTGAAAATTTGTTTCTGATGGACTTTCAGTACCTAGAGTGAAGACAAGACTTCAGGAAGTTACTGCTTCTGGTCACAAAATAAAATCTTTTCATGCTTACGTTTTTAGAATTCCTCAATTAGTAAATTAGTAAATATTAAAGCTGTTTCACTACTTGTGACTGTATGAAAGCTTCCTGCTATAATAATCCCCATTTCTGTTTCTGAATTTGATTCATTTTTTAAATCTAAATAAGGCTGTTTATGTCACCAAGAACAGAGATGAGTGTGATTCTTCTGATCAGAAGAGTCACATACTGGCGACTATAATAATAATAGAAATAATTTTCCAAGAGCGTTAAATCAAATTTCCCGTATTACATGTTGCAAATGAAAGTAGCCAATATGTTTCAGTACAATCTGTATAGCTCATGCAACACACTGAAAGATAATAGCAAAGTAATAGTGGGAACAAATTAGTGCCACCTGGTGGCTTCTTGCGCCTCCTGTCAGAATTTACAGTAAATTTAACATCGTAAAGTGGTCATATAATCATATATACCAAAATGATAAATTTCATATTTTTTCAAGCTCTATTTCTTTTATAATGGCTTATGTCCAATTCAGGCAAAGCTGACACACTGGCACAGCTGATGTGTATCTGAGAGCGTGTCATGAGAGAGATTTTCCATTGAATGTCAATTCAGTGTTCAAACAAAGTAAATACATAAGGTACTTCCAAAAGCAGCACTGAGAGGGATGTGTGCAGCAATGAGCGACACATACAGTA